GGTCTTGCCTGCCCAGGCGAGTCTCGAACCCGCGGGCTCAGGCAATCCACTCACCTCAGCTTCCCAAAGGCCCGGGATTACAGGCTGAGCCACCGAGCCTGGCTCAAAAAAACTTTTAAAGTGGCAACTGCTCGATACAGAATCCATTAGCATCAATGTTTCTCAGACACATTTTTGCAAACATTATTTTCTCCATAGCTTTAAGCTTTAGAAGCAAGTCAAGGTCTCCTCCAACCCAGCAATTAAATCTGAGATTTCAGATCTACTAGTCATTGCAGCACACATCCTTTTATATCTACTATAAAACGTTTATATATTTAACATTCAATATATACTCATGGTTGAATTCTAAATCTGAAATCTCACCTATGTCTGAACCCATATGAAATAAAAGGGGACATTGATAGGAATGAAAGAAAAACATTCTGTAAATGAAATTATTCTAAACTGCACCTTTATATAGAAAAGTCTTTTAAAATGGCTTTGTTAACATTCCACAAGCACATCTTACATTTTCTAGACATTAAAATTGATAATCTCAAACTCCAACTTAGGATAACTGGCTAAGTAGATACATCTGCAGATGTTGAAAATTATGGTATGGGTCTTTGAATAATGACTTAATTTAAAAAGGATGCTTCCACTAATTTCATATGCAGTAGATAGTTTTGTGGTTCTCAACAATTTAACTTTGGAAGACTTCACATATAAATAGGTTTCCTGTTCCCTCTCTTATGTACATGAGTCTTTGTGTGCATGCATGCATATACATATACAAAGGACACCCCCCCAAAGGAATTAACTTTTGGAGAACAGCTTTACCCGCTAGGTAAGTGTTCTAGGAACCCATCAGCATCAGTATACCAGCTAGTATTGTGAGAGGCTGTGTTCAGCTTCAGTAAATTTTTTTTGGAGATTGTTTCAAAGCACTTGCACCCTTCATGAGAGGTGATTTATGAGTGCACTTGCCTACATCGGCTGAGTGTTCAGCATTTTTTGACCAAAAATATTACGGACCCCGTGACCAGTGCCATTCCTATTCACCTGGTCTCAACCTAAGGGCCTTTTTTTTTTCCCCCACTGGATGATGAAAGTCCTCAAAGGAAACATTTTGCCAATGTAGAAGAGGTAAAACAATGACAACAACAACAACAACAACAAAACAAATGGAAGAAACACTAAAAGCCATCAAAATTGACAAGTTCAAAAACGGTTTTGATCAGTGGAAAAGCATTTTGATAGGTGTATTGCATCAAACGAAGAGTATTTTGAAGGTGACTGAAGTTTAAACATGTAAGAATAGATACACAACTTAAAAAAAATTAAATTCCATGTTTTTATGGTCCTCCCTCGTATGTGTATGTCTTTCCGAATGCACACAAATATGTATATATACACAAATAATCATCTAGATACATATGTTCATTAGCAACTCTACTCAATTTATCGAGTTCTCTTTAAATTCAAAAAGTCAGTAGGTAAGTATGTTATCTTTGGTCAGAGAGAAATGGCAGAAAAATATGGTGATTCATAAGATTGAGGACACCTAGGTAGCAGATCTAAGAAAGAAACTATAATTTTTAAGACTTTGAGAAGTTGATTTTCTCTCATTCCAAAATTATCTACTTGTTCTTTCAGGAGGCTGATACTCAAAGCAGCTTTGTAAGATACATGTGACACGTTTCAATCTCATTTTTTGAGGAAGACGCAAACTGGTGGAAGGTTAAAAGGGAACTCAAAATCACCATGTAAATGAGAAGACCAATACTTTTTACTCCAATTTCAACTTTTCTAGAAGTTAGAACTATATGTGACCTTGAAGAACATCTGATTTACATCCCACATTTTTTTTAGCAACCTCTGGAAAGTGAATTTCTAAATCTTTCTGGTGGTCTGACAATGTAGAAAGTTACACAGTCTGTTGGCTTAAGTTAGACCAACTGTGGTGGTCACTCATATCTTTAATGTATGGAAATAAAATAGTCAGCATACCAAGGTTTGGAGACGCATGACTTTTCCCACTCTCAAAATCAATCACCAATCTGAATGCTATGGCTATTACTCAGAGATTCAGAGGTTTGCTGTAAGCAGAGACCATGACCTTGGAACAATTATTTTCACAAAAGGCATTACCAACAATGATGTGAGCAAAGTGCCCAGACTGCCCTCCAGTGCATGAATCCCTGGCCAGGAAATGGCTACGAATCTTCCATGAGTAGTATGAGTTTGGCTTAAATCTCATTTCAGTGCATTTATATTTCATAAGCACTGCATTTAGACAAAGTTAAAATGAGCAAGTCAAAGAAAATACTCACTTAAAGATTTTCTGTGCTCGGGTTTCTGTTCTTTTATATCACTATCATAGTGACTTAGCAATTCGGTACTGGAGGATAATTGAATTTTGAATAATTCCAGGTTTCTTGATGGACAACTTGATGAATCCTTTGGCTGGAAACAACAAACAATTAGACTGAATAATTTTACAATGAAGAAAGGATTCACCATATAGTTTTACTGTCTATTTTGATGGAAGACTTAAGGGGAAGTTTGAAGTAAGAGAATTATTTTGGAATAGCCAAATGCTAAGCTCAATACTCAAATGTAATAATAGTGTATTTAATAGTGTATTTGCTAAATGCTGTGCATTATTTCAAGTATTCTAAATGCATTAACTCAATCAACCATTACAGCAATTCTATGAAGGAGGTGGTATTATTATCCTTATTTCTAGATGAGGAAACGGAACCAAAAATAGATAAGTAATTTGCCCCAGGCCACACAGGTAGCAAATGATAGACCAGAACTCAAAATTGGGCAGTCTGGTACTAGAGTCTATTCTTAAAGACAACAAACTGTGTGTGTGTGTGTGTGTGTGTGTGTGTGTGTGAGAGTGTGTGTGTGTGCGCATATGCGCACACACACATCTTTAAGGAGACTATACCAATGATGGAAAAAAATCAATTTGTTATTTTATTTTTTAAAGTTTTAGTCACAAAATGATATAATGAAAGACTGCAATTAAATATCAATAAAAACACACACAATCTTGTATTACTCTATTGTGTATCATATTAAAAACTCTTAAGAATATTTTCCCTGAAGATTTTGCAAATATTAGTGTCCTAAAATTAGACGTTTGTCCTAGAGTCCATATGAAATGAGTAGCTTTAAATAATTTGATAATTCTAAAAATATACTCTGAATGTGACATTTAGGATAATTTCATGAAGTTCTAGATGTGTAATTTTCATGAAAAGAACAATTTAGCTTAGCTAGAAGAATAATAAAAATCAGCACGAAGGATTATTACTTACTAGTATTATAACAGTGAGTAAGGTCTTAAATACATTGGTATTTATTTTGAAGAATATGTATTAAAGACTGCATAAACAGAAAGTAAAATTCAGTAGTTATTAAGCGCTTGTGTGCTTTTTACAGCCTCTAGTAAATGAATGTTCATGTTATTTCAGAAAAAAAAGAAAGAATGCAATGCATTTTTGAAAGAGAGAAATTAAATGATTCAGTTCCATAAATTCTGTCTGCTGAAAAGGTTTTTAGTGGACCCTAAACTTAAAAGAACTTAATATCTCTCAGTCCATAGGCTCTATTAAAGGCATGTGTTATAGGCCTGAGTAATAAGATTTAAATGACTACATTTTAATTAATAAAGGTAACAGCCAAAACAAATACATACCAATCTGTCAATTGCATTTTTGATCGCGTGGAACCAATCCAATATGATGAAGTCAATATCTGACTGTAGAAGGAACTCATTTCCTGATAATGTTGTGATCTAGAAAAGAAAATCGACAGGTAAAGAAACTATGTAAGACAGATCTTTTACATTTACAAAAACATAGCTTTTTCAAAAAACACAGTTTAATACACTTAAATATTTTCTCATATTCCAGTAATTGTTTTTCTGAGAACTGGGAGGATTTTGAACTGCTCTCTAGAAACTGTTTTTTTATGTCATAACAAATACATTATTGTTTCAATAATAGAACAATTAACTCAGGGTAGGACTAAAGCTGAATTACTCCAACTTAAGGAAGAATAACCCAGGAAGTTCCACGTAAGGCAGACAGTATACACTTAAGTCAGACCACACAGAAAAATGCAACCAAAAGTGTCAGAATTCATTCTGCACTTTTGGTTCTTTCCTGTTGGTCTTTTTCAAGTCTAATAGTATCTCTATATTTGATTTCCTTTTATGGAGGGTTCTAAAACAGATTATTTACCAAGAAGACTAATTCAGACTCCCATAGATCATTCAGATGGATAACATTTAACTATTTCTACTTTCCTTAAAGATCTATAGGAAAGAGATAAAAAATCAATTTCCCCACAAAGGGAGTATATTAAAATAAGACTTTATTTGCATATTTGAACCTCTCCTGGAGCGTATTTATCAAATGAACATCCAGGTTCCCGACTCTCAGCACTGTTAAGTAGTTGGCAATGTTTAGCGGGTAACTATACATTTTTCATGAGAGTGAATCTTTTTCTCCCCAGATGTGTGAGAGAAGGATGTGACCCTATAGAAACAGAGCAATACTTTTGGTTTCACACATAAAGAACTACTTTGAGAAGAATTTGATGAGAGTGGGTGTGGACACGCTTTTTGTAATAGGCCATCTATCTGAACTGTGAAGATTTTCCCTTTGTATTATTGACTTTTTGTTGCAACAGGAAGACGAACATTTCCCGACTGCTGTCACACATCAAGTGAGGCTTCAGAGGTTTAGAGGACTGACATTTCAAAACGCTCAATCAGAAGCTGGTCACCTCTTCTCAACCTTACTTGTTCTAAACAGGAGGTGAATGCTGAAATGTGGCACAGGTTCAGAAAATCACAAATCATGCTTTAGGCCATCTCTATAATTCTATCATTAAAGTGACAATTATTACCCAAAATGGCTCATTCTGAAGGTTTTGAGGATTCTTATGGCAACATTTAATAATAATGATGTTGGAGTTTTTAAGACATCTTCTATTACACATGTGCTATATATATTCATTTGTCATTTATTTTCAGAAAAACTCTATAGAGATTCAACATTACTCAATTCTGCAAAGCAATCATTCTTAATTGAGATGAGTTCCACTATCAAATATAGTCTCTACAACTAGGAGAAGAACTGTCATAAGTGCATACAATTATAAGAAGTGAAAGATTGAAAAATAATAGGATTTAATTACCCACACAAGAATTTGACAGATTACTGGAGCCAAATATTCTCTCTCTCTCTCTCTCTCTCTCTCTCTCTCTCTCTCCCTCTCTCTCCCCCACACACCTTTCCCTTGCCCTAACCCTCTCCCTTTCTCTTTCCCTTCCCCTTTCCCCTTTCTGTCTGTCTGTCTCTCTCTCTGTTAATAAAACTTCATGTAAGAGTTGTGATTGCTCAAAATAGTCCTCTGATTTATGTAAGCAGTAAAAGATAACTAAGATGATGCTTGCCTAATTATCTGAACACCATTGCAAAGTTCTTTACTAAAGTTCCAAATATTTACTTTATAAAGTGTTGCCTCAGAAATAGTCATCTAAAACTCTAAGATCATTTCTAACACAATAAAACTAGTCATATCCTTGACCTCTACCTTCATCCTAATCTAAATTTAAATATTTTTATTATGATTGTATTGTATAATGTCACAATTTTTTAACATACAAAAAAAAATGAATTGGCCCAAGTACAATGTACAATCTAATATAAAATTTTCTGACAGTATAAATAAACCATTATTAAAATTATTAAAAAAAGCAACATTTTTAAAGTATAAGAAACAAACATAATTAGATTTACTATATTAAGAGGGCTTATGAGAGAGCCAACATAGTTCAGTTTTCAGTCTAGTAAATTCAAACAGTGATAAAATATAAGTACTTCAGCATTGCATTTGCATCTTTGGTGCATGCTATGCAATGCTGAGATCTTATACTGCTAACACAACCAAAAGCAAAATGTATTTTCAAAGTTCCTTTGTCCAAATATATTACTGCATTAATCATACATAATCAGTGATTTACGAATTCATTTTGAGAAGCTAGATCAGAGAGCTATATGAATGCATTTCATTCAAAACATACTATCAGAGAGATACAGTTCACATCCTTTCCTCTGTCTTCCCACTAATCTTTTGAGTTACTAGGCAGTCTGGAGAAGTCTGCTACTGCTCTCTACAGTTTAAATGCATCCACTTCTTAATTACAGTCAGTAATTGACTTTGTTCTGCTCCAATCCAGTCACTCACAGGAAAGTAGTTTCAAAATCTTTCACCGGTAAGGCCCATTTAATTCAGGTTTCTCAACTCATGTTTTTACATTACCTCTTTAGGATTTCTAATAAATGGTTTACTGAATTGCATTTGCACTTTGAACAATCAGATTTTCAACACTTTTGGGGAAAAAAAGACATCAGTAAAGAATGCTAGCTTTGACTAAAACTTTTGATTGAACAGCTCATGATGACAATCTAAAGTGATGTAGAATAACAGACATAAAGGCTTTGCTATGAAGCCCTGCTAAAGTATTCTTTCTTATATAAAGTTTTGCCTCCATTACTGAATCTGTGGTGAGGGGATGAAGGAGGAACTTGAAAAAACCTGACAGGTTTAGATAAGAGCTGCTGGTCTCCATCTTGCTTAGAAACCTGTTTTAGGCAAATGTCTCTTTCATCACCACCAGGTCATATTTTGAAGGGATATATCAGGGGACAAAAGCAGCATTAGTGAAGTTTGCTACCTTTGTCAATAATACATATCTTCAAGTATCCATTTGGGGAAATGTGCCTCAAACTTTTTCATAGTACATAAGTGTGCACCTGAATTTTTGCTGGCAACCGATTTATGCCCAGGACGTTATAGAAGCCTGTCCACTGAGCAATATGCAGGGTGGACATTTCTTAAGGCTTTTTGGTATTAATTTGACAGTATTTTTCAATTGGGCTTGGACTCATCTGTGTTTTTGTTGTGGTTCCTCTGAAGATGGGGGCGAGCTCCAAACTTCACTGATAAGTGATGAAGAGGGAAAAAAATTGTTTTTGAGGTTTTAATTAAATGGAGGATTTTTACGCTAATTTAAAATTTTTTAAAAGAGTTTTAAGAAGTAGTGCTTATGATGATTTAAGTAATGGACTTGTCAGTATCAACCTCATCAATATTCATTCTAGCGGTAAGATTTTATTGTGTGAGACTTTAGTGTAAATTAAAAATTAATATGTAAAATGGCATTTACACTTCTAAATATGTCCATATTTCTGTTTATTAGAATAGAAACAAAACTTTTGTAGAACTTCACTGTTTTCTGATTATAAGAAAAATAATTAATTGTGAAGAATTTGGAAAACATAAAGATAACAAAGGATCAACACTATTCTTAGCTACACAGAGTATTGTGTGTACTTTAGTTATTGCCAGTTTTTTATAAATAACGACTATACAAAATGATAATGGTTAATGGATAACTTTATGCTATAGATAGATACCTCAACAACAAAACATATTTGGTGATTAAATATTGTCAGCGTTCTCCTTTCCAGTTGACTTCAAATGTACATGGGATGCAAGAGATGATGAGTGATATTTTGCTCCCCTCTCTTTGATAGTACCACCCTTCTAGTTGCAGAATAAATCTCACAAGTAATTCTGTGTTCAAAAAACTAGAGAGGATGCATTCATGACAGAACATCTCCTAATCATTAACGATGACTGATTAAGCGTCCATTAAGTACAAGGCACATTGCTAGAAGCCAGAGATACACAACCCCCACCCTCAAGAACTTGCAATCTGTTTGAATAAATAGGACATATGCATATAAAGATAAATAACAATAGAAAATGGCTTATATGAAGTCCCAATGTGAGTGGCACACACGATGCTCATGTCAAGATTTTAGAGGAGGGAGTAATTACTGCAGGCACATTTACATCATGAAATTATGCATAAACTGGTGGTCATGATATGTTATTCTTTAAAGGTTGATTGTATCAGAACTTTAGCATATTAAAGATATGAATACTACCACTTGGTATGCAAAGTGATATCAGCTTTAATGATCTCAAAGCACATAATAAACATTCTCCAAATGCAGCTTCCCTCCACTATCATAAAGTAATTTTGCAAATGAAGAAAATGAAGCAAATGAGGAAAATGAGAATGCCATTCTATCAAATTGGCATCATTTTAAATGATAGAATTAAGAGATTACAAAGATCTTGATTTCTAGTTCACTAGTTCTCAGCAAACATTCATATACAGTCAAGGACTGTGTGTGTGAACGGAGAAAGGGCCACGATGATCTGGTTTCAGTTGTGAAATTTTGAATAACGACTTTAGACAAAGTTGCTTGTTACTTTAGGCTAAAAATAGCCCAATTTTAAACAATCATGCAAAATCCTTACAGGGATTTTTTTTTTCTTTTTACAAACAACTACTCTCTCACTACGAAAAAACATATCGAAGACAGAACTGGGGCATCCAAAAGCTCCTTCAAATCCTAAAAAGGACTAAAGCAATCCTACACATGAACAAATATCTTTCACATTTTGCTTAGAATCAGTCTTTGACTAAGAACCTAAGGAGGAGTTAATCCATCTTAATGAAGCTGTAACTGTGCATAGAAAATGTATAATAAAATATACCAAATATCTAAAAAGCCCTAAAACATGTTAAATAATATGCTTACAATGGTTTTAGAAATAGTAGATAAAAGGAATGGAATTAATTGCTATTATATTTAGAAACACTTTGGACTTCATGATGAAATTATTATATTCAAATTAAATTAAGTA